AAACAATTTAATCTATAAAAATTTTGTATTTGTACTTATTCTGAATCAACTTGCCATTCTTTTCCATTCCCATGCCTTAAACATATTTATATTACATATTGGACCAGTGACTTTTAATATTGCCATTACCTGAGTTTGCAAATTTTTGTGAAAATTAAATTTTTTATGCTAGTAAATAGTAATTTCTCAACCAAACTCTGACTTTCTTTACTTAACGTTCTTACTTTACTGTTATAATAGTTTGGGGGCACGCCGCGTGTGCTGACTTCCCGCAAAATGACTTTTATTACGTTATCGAACATATTTCATGGGATAGTGCATCTACTGTAGATAAAGGTCAGACGCAACGCCACAGTCAGTATTGGCAGGCTACGCGCAAGGCAAGGGGGGGCATATAATGAGAGCCGCGAGTCTGAATTTCCAATCTCCGATGATAGGTAGACGAAACAACTGACCGAAACGTCAGGCACACAATAAACCTGTTTCAGTAAACACTAATCCTGCTTTTGAGTCTGTATTGTTTACCGCAACGGAAGTGCAGACTGACCCTGAAGCGGTAGGGGTCAAACGGGGCAAAAGCCAGAAACCAGGCGAGCCGGTTGGCCGGTCTGGAAAAAATGCATGTCATCGACCGCCATTATAATAATTGGGGGCCTGGGGCAAGACAGTGTGGCAGTAAGTCGAGGTGTGGGGAGCCAAACATGAATCGATGAGCAGATGTGCCGAGCTTCTTCTAGCCCCAGGCCTATCAAGCAAACGGACGCAGTTCAGCCCTGTGAATACTTTTAGCTACAAATATCTTAGATTCCATGCTTTAACAGTTTGATTCTGTTTTTTTTACATTTCTAAGGACTGGAGAAATAAATAAGAAGGCTTTAAAAAAGAAACAAGCTACTGGTTAGGATGTTCTACTCTTGTTCTACAAACGCCAGCGTATAGATGCAAAACTGGGTTCTCATGTTAAGACGGTGGAGAGACAAAGACGTCAAACACAAAACGACGAATTAATGTGCAAGCTCTTCGTAGGTAGGAGCTACGACGCAATACAATGCGAAGGCAGGGCTTGAGGGGGAACTCACGTTATTGACTCAAAGTTGAACACGAGGGCACAGAAGAGCCGTATTTTCTGCCAAAGACTGAAAGCATCAAGCGTTCTGGACAGGGTCACGTTGATTGGCCGATCTCCAAGAACGAGATGGCAGTGCGGCTGTTGTGAGGCCTTAAGTCCGGGGAAGGAATATGTGGGGTTGGTTTGAGAAACTCAAGCTCTTCTTGTTTAAGTATCCATAAATTCCAAGACCGGTAAAATGCAGCAAAAAGACTATTAAACGGGAGTGAAGGGGGTTACTTATTTTCAAAAAAGGTTCAGACAGGATCGCGTGCGAAATTTGCTCATGTGACCAAGACATAAAAAGTTAAATTGGAATTAACTGACTGAGACCTCCTACTGGTGACAGAGAACTGCAAACCA